ACAGTTGTCTACGCAAAATACTTCAGATGCGTTGGCCGGACACTATAAGCAACAACCTACTGTGGGAGAGAACAAATCAGATCCCAGTGGAGGAAGAAATCAGGAAGAAACGCTGGAAGTGGATAGGACACACATTGAGGAAAGCACCGAACTGCGTCACAAGACAAGCCCTCATATGGAATCCTCAAGGTCGAAGGAGAAGAGGAAGACCAAAGAATACATTACGCCGAGAAATGGAGATAGATATGAGAAAAATGAACAAGAATTGGATGGAACTAGAAAAGAAGGCCCAGGACAGAGTGGGTTGGAGAATGCTGGTCGGCGGCCTATGCTCCATTGGGAGTAACAGGCGTAAGTAAGTAAGTAAGTAATATATATATATATATATATATATATATATATATATATATATATATATATATGAGTAGTAACAGTACAAGTCATTGAGGAAAGCACCCACCTGAGTCAAAAGGATTGGATAGAACTAGAAAGGAAAGCCCAGGACAGAGTGGGTTGGAGAATGTTTTACAGAGGCCTATACTCCGTTGGGAGTAACAGCCGTAAGTAAACTAGTAAGTAAGTAAGTAAAACGGTACAAGTGGTAATAGAAAATATTGCACATAGAAAATATGATACAGAAATAGAGAATATTTTCTAGGAATAAATCACAGAAGGTAATTTTAAAACTCAAAATCTACGGATAAATTGAATGGATCTGGAATGTTGCCACCGATTGTGAGGTATGTCATTGAACTTCCATATTAAATTGGTTAAGATGATCTGTAGCTATTCTAACACGTCTCAGTCAAATATTTTGGTGATTTCATAAACATTACGATATGTCTTTCTCTGACTCCATTCACTACTACCAAGTAGTGATGAATATAATCAACAAAAAAAAAGAAATCTTTGTTTGAGTATATAAATTCTTAAGAAGACTTAAACTTGAGATTTAATGACCAAGTTCTTTTGTTATAGAGTTTGTAGATGTTCATTGATTTAATCTATTTTTACTCTACCATGGGACTGCATCTCCGCACGATGCTCCACTGTCTTGTGGATCAGACCTTTGGGTCGAAGGCTCGGGGTGTGGCCCCTTAAGAACACCACCTGCTTCGGTTTGGGCACCCGGTCAGTATCATAGCCCTTACACATATGAAATGAGATCTGTGTGGCGCATATGTATTTGGTATCTCCTTTTACCAATATCTATGTGTTAAAATAGATAAATAAACTAAAATTTAAAAAATTCCTATTTATGCATTGCTATATGATCTATGCTAGAATGTAACTATATTTAAACTATATGAGAACTATGTTTAGGAAAAGAATTCGGTTTTACATTTATAGGAAAATTTGATATTTTATCTTTAATCTTAACGCATTCACAGCGGTTGTCAAGATACTCTGAGGTTGTTTTTCCTTAGTTTTGAAATCCATTCCATTCATTCTTGTTAGGTTAGTGTTATATCCCAATGAGAGTATTTGAATGATAACTGTTGAGATCTATTTCCGGACCAATACGATATGTATATTTTTTTATTGTATAATTGTTAAGTAACTAAACTATTTGCATATCCATGTTCCTCTTATTATAAGTTTTCGTCTGACCTATGAACCATGATTATACGATTTACTATTCTTGAATTATGCCCTGTCCATTAATAACTACCTCCCACATTCACAGCCACTTTTGGCTAAATCTTGTACAAATGTTATTTTCTATTTCGAGGTACGATGTGGTCTATTTGCATGGTGTATATATACCTAGTATGTTTGAAAAACATGATTTATATCGCAGAGGCTAGGATCGGTGTTCTGTACTTAACTGGCTGGGCTAGACAGGAAGCGAGATTAATCAGGACTCTAGGCTGTTCGTACGGATTTTACGCGTCATTGATTTGATCGATAATTCACTATTCTGTAATTGGCGGTATCATTACGTTATACATTAACCTACAAGTTATAACAATTTGTACCATTAACGTTTTATTGACACAGATATTAATGCAATTTTAACGAGCGAACATTTAGGTGAGGAAAATCAATTTATTGTTTAATACACAATCATCAAATAGTGCTTTAGTAAAATGTGATAATCATACATCATTTGCATATCTTATTTGAAATGTCTCTAACAAACTTCATTATTCTTTCGTTCCTGTCTTTACTTTTATTTTATTTTATTTTAACACATAAATATTGGTACAAGGAGGCACCAAGTACATATGCGCCACACAGATCTCATTTCATATGTGTGAGGGCTGTGATACTGCTCGGGTGCCCAAACCGAAGCACGTGGTTTTCTTAGGGGGCCACACCCCGAGCCTTCGACCTGAAGATCTGATCCACAAGGCAGTGGAGCATCGTAAGGAGATGCAGTCCCATGGTAGCCGGTGACCAACGATTGGTTCATACGCCATTTGTTCCCGCAGGATACTGGAGCCCATGTGCACCATTGGTTTGGGATCCGGTTAAAGCGCCGAACATTCGCTTTTCGTCCTCTCATTTTCGTAAACAACACCCCCGCCACGTGAAGGCAGTGAGTATGACTTCCCTGGCAGAGGCTATATACGCGTGGCCATGTGAGAGTATTTAGAGAGGGAGGGCGAACCCTGCCCACTCTCGGCCGTACCAGGGCGTTTGTTTTCAGTTTCCATCTCTGTTCTCTTCATTTCAATCCTCTTAGTCTTCTGCTCTCAGACATTTCACTTCCGATTGGTTTTACATGATACTTATACCTATAGACATAAGGGCATACACCATACCACTACTACTAATACTAAGATATTCATCTCGCTGTACTGATGCGGTGTAGCAACTTCAAACGATATGCCAAGTTATACATTGTTTATGATTGATATTCAAAATAATTCAATATAATCTTTATATTTAACAATTGATTCAACAGTTTTAAATCATTCGATCCGAAATCGTAGGATTATCATAAAGAGTCAGTTACCATACGTACTGCGCATAGCAGTCTAACAAAGTAAATTTTATGTAGTGAATGGTAGTTATTTAGTGAATATAATCATAGTAAAGATAAAGTAACAGAATCCTTCAGGGATCTCGTCAATGACCGCAATCCAAAAAAAGATGATAAAATATCCAAGTTAAACGAATTAGTTAACACAATTCATTAACATAAACCGAGATATTATACAAACATCATGAATGTAGAACCTAGCAGGAATATGAGTTGATCCAAGCCCTCACGACATATTAGCACAATAAGAGGAAATTGACAAGATGGATAGTACACAATATCGAAATAATGTAGTGGTAATCCTAACTAGAAACATTAAATATTGAAAATATGGTTTGAAAAGACTGAATGGAAAGGTATTTTTCAAAAAAGATTGGAATTCGAAAAGGAAGAAAAAGAAAAGGAGTGGATATATCTTTCCCATGATAAACAATTATAAGCATTTAAATGCCCTGGTATGGACGAGAGTGGGATAGGCCCGCCCTCCCTCTCGAACTGCTCTCACACGGCCACGCGTATACAGACTCTGCCAGGGAAGTCCTACTCATTGCCTTTTCATGGCAGGGGTGTTGTCTACAAAAATGAGAGGATGAAAAGCGAATGTCTGGCTCTATAACCGTATCGCGAACCAATGGTACACATGTGCTGGCTCTAGTATCCTGAGTCAGTCAGTCAGTCAGCTGCAACGTAGGACCAGGCATGTATATGCATCGGTCCAAGTTGCCATACCGCATTAGCACAACAAGATGAACACCGGATTCATAGGAGTAGCTAATTCAGTGGTGGTAATATATAGAAGAAAGATTGTGTATAAGGAGATAGTAAAGGAAGAAAGAATTAGTTCCTAGACAGATATGAAGCGATTTTAATCTCTTAATTTAAGGAAGACAGAGAGTGTATACACCGACGCCATTGTGATCGATTCTGAGCCATGTCACCAAGAGTCTCCAACCATTGGTTACGATAGTCACGCGGACCCCAACCAGGCAGTCTGAATCTCCCAACATGGCTCAGACCAGAAGTTAGTGACTTCAAGCACTGATGCCACGTTTTGGTTTGGCCGCCCCTAACTTTCTTCCAATTATCCCCTGCACTAGTCAGCATTGCGCGTCGTGGTAATCGGTGTTCAGGCATACGCAACACGTGGCCCAACCATCTCAGTCGATGAAGATTCATAACCTCATCAACTGATTTACCATCATTCCCTAATACCCTGCGTCTAACCTCACTATTACTTACCCGGTGATCCCAGCAGATACCCGCAATATTTCTAAGGCACCTGTGGTCAAATACTAGTAACTTACGAATATCTTCCACTCTTAAAGGCCATGTTTCGCAGCCGTATAGAAGGACGGAACGAACTGCCGCGCAGTATACTCGTCCCTTAATTGATAGACGGATATCTCGCCTTCGCCATAGATGACGTAAGTTGGCAAAGGCCAAGCGAGCTTTTCGAATCCGTGCTGAGATTTCGTCAGACACCAACCCATTAGGGCTGATCAGACTTCCAAGATAAGTGAAGTTGTCAACGCGTTCGACTACTTCACCCCCTATCCTTAGTTCAGGTGTTGATGCTGAGGGAACAAATGGCATATGAACCAATCGCTGGTCACCGGCTACCATGGGACTGCATCTCCTCACGATGCATCACTACCTTGTGGGTCAAACCTATAGGAGGTGTGGCCCCCTAAGACCACCTGTTTCGGTCTGGGCGCATATATATTAGGTGCCCTCTTGTACCAATATTTCTGTGTTCAAATAAATAATAATGAATAAATTCTAAGCCTTATCAATCACATTCTCCAATCATTAGTTATGGTTATCGGATGGACTATAATCAAATGGTTTATATCTACCATTATGGTTCAAATTATTAACATTCAATAGTTTTATAGACTAAACGGATATTATTTCTCAGATAATAATAATAATATCAATCTATTTGTATCAATGAAACAACTAACAAACTAGTAATATATAATAAATAAAATAAACTATATATTCAACTTACTATTTATTGCAATCCATTCATGTAGATCTTCACCTTCAGGTAAACGAACAGCTAAACGTAAATCTCCACTACCCAATGTTGCAGCAGTTTCTGGTAATAATTCATTTTGTTTACCATTAACATCATGATTATTATTATTAGTAGTAGTAGTATTACCAATAGTAGGATTATGATTACTTGTATTAGTAGTATTATTATTATTAGTTTCTGAGATATTTTTACGTGGTTTGAATGTTTTGCTGCATAATCGATTACCACTAAAAAGTTTTGATAATAATTTAATATTAAGTATATAATCCATTATATACATAAAACAATATCATTATGTACTATTATTATTATCATTATATCCTATATATTTATCATTAGTATATAGTATGGAAGTTCTATCTATATCTATATTTATATGTATATATCTATATCTATATAGTAAAGAATATATACAAAATAAACCAACCTACATGCACATAAAACACTGAATTGAACACGTTTTTGAATAGATATTTCAATATAATAACAAGTGTAAATTGAATAGGTAACAACAACAACAATGGTGATGATGATGAGGAGGATGATGATAATAATACTAATAAGACTCTTATCAAAGTAATTGTATGTACATAAACAGAAACAAAAGAAGTTAGTAACAACAACAACAACAACAACAACAACAACAACAACAATAACAATAACAAAAAGAGAAAAGAAAAATAAGAGTTTTGATTTCTTTTCTTCTCCTTTGTATTATGAATAATCCTTTTATATCATAAATATATATCTTGTGACTTGATTCATTATAATATAAATAATAACAATTAAAGAACAAAACATTAAGTGATACAGATATATATATATATATATATATATATATATATATATATACAGATAGATATAGATATAAGCTGACATTCATAGATACATTTATTGGCTCTTTTAATTATTCAATCAAAGTGAATGAATTAAATAGTTTCATAATTAGATTACATATCTTTGGTTTTTTTGTTGTTGTCTATAATCATCATCATTATAATAAAGAAGTTATCATGTGAACAGATCAATATACACAATTATATATATAAAGAGATAGATAGATAGATAGATGTATAGATTGTTCTAATTTTACAATGTACTTTGACAAGTATCAATAATTATAAGTGAATATAAGGTAAGTAGTTGGTTATGATTTTACAACACCAACATCAACATCAACACCAATAACACCACCAATAATAATAACAATATAAACATATGGATTGATCATTTATTGTAATATATTGGTTGAAGACTCTTGGTGACATGACTCAGAATCGATTACAATGGTGTAGGTGTATACACTCTTTGTCTTCCGTTAAATTAAGAGATTAAAATCACTTCAAATCTTTCTTTCTAGGAACTAATTCTATCTTCCTGTACTATCTCCTTTTATGCAATCTTTCTTTTATATATTACCACCGCTGAATTAACTACTTCTATGAATCCGGTGTTCATCTTGGTGTGCTAATGCGGTATGGCAACTTCGACCGATGTACATACGTGCCTGGTCCTACGTTGCAGCTGACTGACTATTGTAATATATATATATATATATATATATATATATATATATATATATATATATATATATATGCAATCAAAATGATTAAGGTTAAATCACTTATATATTACAAAATAGATTGATTAAACTTAATTTTTGGATAATATATGAATAATATGAACTTAATGATAATGGACAATGGAGACTAATAGATCAATGAAATACAATTTAGAACATGGTGAATGTGTAGATCTATTCAAGTTGTCATATTTAGTAGGTAAGCGGATAAAGTAATAGTATTTAAAATGAATAGTATTAGGTTTGAGTTTCAGAGTGAACATTAATTCTAGGATGCAAGGTAGATCTTGTTAACAAGTCTCAAATAGAACAAAATGTGCGTCCTAAATTCCACTACTAGCCACTATTTATTTTGGTCCCCGATATACACTGGTACGGCTGAGAACTAGAGAGTCAGCTCTTCCTTTCGAAATGTTGTCACATAACTACATGTGTATACAACTACTTTCACAGAAGTCCTACTCATTGCCTTCTCACAGCAAGGCTGATGTTTACGAAATTGAGAGGACGAAAAGCGAATGTCTGGCGATTTACTTAGGTTGGTGGATATAAAGGATTCACCTATGAAAGTTGGAGAACTCTCAATCTAAACAAGTGATGCACATGAACCCCAGGATCCTGAGGGGACAAATGGTGTATGAACCAATCGTTGGTCACCGGCTACCATGGGACTGCATTTCCTGACGTTGCTCCACTACCTTGTGTATCAGATCTTTAGATGGAAGGCACCGGGTGTGACTCCCCTTGTACCAATATTTATGTGTTCAAATAAATAAATAAATAAATGTACCAATATCTATGTTAAAATAAATTACCAAATCCGTAACTCACGAAAGAAACGTGAAAATCGACTCTCACGAATTTTAATAAGGCATACAATGTCACTACTCTTCTATGTTGACTACAAGATAAAAACTAACCAATGAATTTCCGTTATAATTAAGAAGATTTCTCAGACGATAGATGACTAGGACAAAGCAGAAGCCATGTGCAATTACCCAGGCAACATCTTTACTCATAACGTCCTGCTTGGTACGGATGGTGTGTTAAGTCCATTAAGCTATTAGGATACGGAAAAATCAATAGGGATGGATGAGCGGCCGATGAGAATATAATTTACAGACAACATTTGAGCGACGACAGACTAGCCTTGAGAGTGTCTACCTAATAACCAGGACCAAAAGAGGGTTATAAACCCGTGTGAGAAATTGGAATTATGATTTGCGGTTGATGATTTAAGTTAGAAATTAGATTTAGGGCTTTCATCATGAACTTACATCAGCTTTAATGCCAAAACTCTACTTAGCCAAACAGATGAGTGAATTTCACGCGAAAATCCGAGTTCTGTTATCTTACACCTGAATGGTTCGTCCATAAATTATAGTCTCGCCCATTTCTCATTCATTTCATCACATCATAACTTGAGATATAGGTGGCTGCCTCCCCCCGCCACGATATTCGAAATGTCACTCAGCTAGTGTGTTAACAAGACTAGAAAGATGCGACAGTCACTCCGACACATGGGACGGGGTATAAATAACTTTGTCGAACTAAAGACTAAGTCTCACTCGTGTTGCAGTCAATGCATTTCAGTCATCATAAAGACTACTATAATCTTTATAAACACCCACAGCTTACTAAAAAGTGAATAGCATGGCTTCAGAAATGGTCGACATCGTATGATAAATCTTTTGCCGACCAAGCATATCTGAACAGATTAACTAGACAGCAAATAGTCATTGGATATAATTCGCACAGGCATTAACAAAGTCTTCGATAAGCTTTCGTATAATAGGCTCCTAGTGAAGCAGGAAAGTTTAGGAATCTTCGAATACTTGTTTAGATAGTTTAGAGACATTTTGGTCGGTCGCCTATAGAAAGTCTAAGCTAATGGCAACATCTCTTACTGGACACCAGAACTAAGAAAAGTACATCAGGGCCTACTGTTATTCTCTATGTCAACGAATCTACATTTATCGTGCTACTCCAATGTTACTTTATGGCGATGACATCAGGTTATGGTCAGATCATTTATACCCATTCCATGCAACCCACGAAATTCTGGTAGGCTGGTCCAAGTTATAGTTAATATCTATTAATAAAACTAAGTGTCACCATGGACAATGGACACAGACGGCAGTAACTGCAAATTTAGAGAAACTCCTGACTTTATCCCTAACTCATGGTCACAGCACACTTAAACGTTAAGACTACAGTTCTCTGATGTGAATTAGCAGCTGAAAGGATGTCAAGAATACCATTTACCAAGTCAAGTACAATTCTGTTCACTAAGCTTTACACAACCCTAATGAGGGCTAAATTGAAAATATGTACTACTTTCAGGTCCTTACTTAAAAGATGACACAGAACTAAGAAGGGATTTATTTATGATGCAAAGGATGGCAAGGAATGAACTTAGGACTAATAAATTCTCTTTCTGTATTCCCCCTAGGTCAGGACAACTCGGAGGGTATAGGAAGAGCCAAGAATGACCAGGATTTGCAACGCGTGTAGATTTTTTCTCATTGCGTGATGAAAGCTTGAAATTTAGTGCTAGAAAGACGAGTGCCTACACTTTTAATCAACTCGTTTAAGAGGTAAGACAGGTGAAGAATAGGATTGACAGACTCCCTACCGTCTATCCACAAATCTGTTCGAGACCGAAAGTTGGAGGTCTGACAAGATACAGCCGAAAACTGGTTGCCGTCCTGCTTCGATTTAATAATTGCTGTGGTCTGGATACTACATTTATAGCCGTCCCATGCTATTAATATTGAGTTTTGAATCATGTCCTCAATGTTGAAGCATCAATATCACTGCTTCAAACCATTTGCTTTGCAGCTAATTGATTCCACAATTATGCGATACGAGCTTGTGGAAAATTGAACTTAATCCAAAGATGATAATGACGGACTTCATTCAACAAACCTGATAGCTTTACGACAGAATTTAATTTATATTTATTTGTCCGTAGTAATCGACAATCCTTGCAGATTATTTGTCAACATGCGAAAAGTGGTATTGACTAAGTTAACGTAAATGGGTTTAGTGTTATCCTTAAAAGAATTCGATATGGAAAAAACTAGCACTTATTATATACACGGAATAACCACTCTCATATTTGATCCAAACCGATGGAGAAGTATAACCAAAAACCGTACACCTTAGGCCCATGTTATAGCGGATACTGTTGTCACTCTATGTGCAACTTACAATAGGAAATTCATTGCACATAGTAAGATTGTAATGAGGTACCGCACAAGTTGAAAATCGTCACAATGCCAAATCTCCAATATTTTTTCTATGAAGCTGATACAAAGTGACTTCTTTCTTCACATTCACACAATGATGTTAATAAGTAAATCTGGGTTTTCGGCAGCATCCAGCGAGATATTTTGACATTTTAACTAGACAATTCTGAATGAATTTATTTACAGGTTTTCATATGTTATAAGCGTGTATGTGAAATTAACTTAGGTTAGTTTGTTTCAGTTGTTAAAGAATAGAAGAACTTTTCAATTTTCTTAGTCCTTGCGCTAGTGATCGGATTTCAGTCGACAAGCTAGCGGAACTTTATTAGTGACTTGGTGAATTCTCCTTGATAGGCAATAGATACGAGTCATGTCAGACGCAAATTTATCAATAGATTATTACAAAACTTCGATCACCTCACATCTAATTTTTCTACAACATAAGGCAAACAGATGTACCTTTTCTAGTCTTCCGTCACACGACAACACTGTGATTTCGCGTATCAACTTAATGGTTATCTTCTGAACCTTTCTCGACTACATATAATTCTCATAGTAGAGAAAGCACTACTGCGAGAATTGTGCATGGGAATCGGTCTGACCTTGTCCGTGGAAGTCAGTTTCTGTGTAGAAGAACCTGGCTTCGAAATGTTTATGTCAGAATGGCAACAGTTGCAGGTTGGTAGGCGAAAGCAGTATATTGCTAAGTAGCTTGCGTGTCTGATCCTTTATGATGAAAATATAATATACTGATGAGCAAGAAAAAACATCCAAAAATATGAAAACATCACCACAGTATGTAAAAACAAAACTTAAAAGG